AATCTTTGTAGTTTAGTTAGAAAAGCGTTCCAGATATAAGTTCATTTGACATTTTTAATTTGAAATCACCCCAGCTACCAGCAACACACTTTCCAGGTAATGGCAGACGTGTCGTGGGACGCCCTGTATAACAAATCGCGTGAGATTGTCAAGTAAATTACCACAACTTTTCGTATACATTTCATTTATCTAACTCCGCAGGGCCAGCTCAAATCGATTGTTGGAAAAAAACACACAAAACTTAATTACAAACTTGCGGAACAGGACGTTATCAATTATTAGTCGCATAATTAATTTTTTACTTTTCCGATATTGAATTTCTTATAACTAGTTTTGTCGATGTCGATATATCGGATTTCCAGTTTGTTAAATGTGTGGAATGCTTAAAGTATCTTGATCTGTTTGTTGCAATTTCTATTATAATCGAATTTAATTTAAAATATTAAAGTGTCACTAAAAATAAATATTTAGCCATTGCATCAAATTGCAATTTTGGAAATTGTAACTTGAAATATATTGCATATAATGGGTGTTTTTTTTTTGGATGTATACAACTTTGAGTTGGCATTACTGTTCAAGATGGCGACCGATTTAACAGCTGTCAAGTGATTTATTCTCAGTTTGGTTTGGCAATTCATCAAGAATAGACTCACGCCTGAACAACGCTTGGAAATAGTGCAATTTTATTTCAAAAATAATGGTTCTGTGCGGAATATGTATCAAGCACTACGTCCATTTTATCGTCGACAAAATCGTCCATCAGAGCAGTTAATTCGATTAACCATGGAACGTTTTCGCACCACGTTTACTCTTATTGATAACTCGCATCCCCAGAGACGCCGTACGGTGCGTACAGAAGAAGCTATTGCTGCTATAGAGCGTAGCATTGAGGAAGACCCGAATGAGTCAATCCGCCATCGAGCACAGGAATTGGATCTGTGTCCATCCACTTGATGGAAGATTTTGGGGAAGAATCTTGGTTTACGTGCTTACAAAATCCAACTCGTGCAAGAATTGAAACCAAACGATCATCAAGTTAGGCGTAGATTGGTGGGATCATTTGTCCGTACTTCTTCAAAAACGATGATGATGATGAACGTTACAGCCAATGGTGATCGGTATAGAGCTATGATTACTAACTCTTTCATTCCTGAATTGAATAACCATGATGTCCAGCTCGTGCCACAATCGATTTATTGAAAGACACGTGTGGTGACCGCCTAATTTCACGTTTTGGACCTGTGAATTGACCTCCAAGATGTTGTGATTTAACACCGCTAGGCTACTTTCCGTGGGGCTATGTAAAGTCATTGGTCTATGGGGATAAGCCACAAACGCTTGACCATTTGGAAGACAACATTCGCCGTGTTATTGCCGATATACGGCCGCAAATGTTGGAAAAAGCCATCTAAAATTGGACGTCCAGATTGGACTACATCCGCGCCAGCCGTGGCGGTCATATGCCAGAAATCATATTCAAAATGTAATGCTACAAGATTATCTTTCGGATAAATAAAATTCATGTCAATCGAATAATCCATCGTTGTTTTATTGCAACTTAAATTTCTATACATCGAAAAAAAACACCCCTTATAAAGCATCCCAGATAAAAATTGGAAACCCTGGCAAAACATTCCATAATCTAATTTTTCTCTTCCAAAATCATGAATTAATCTTGTTATCCATTGAAAGAAACTTCCACAGGCTACTAGTTATTAGTAACACTAGTTACGAAACTTCTGAATTCTTCCTCGCTAACGTTTCGCCAATCATCCTGTTGGCTTCTTCAGAGTTTAGCTAAAACTTGCTCACAATTTACTCTATATACCTGCTTATATATTGTTTAAGGTGGGCGGAGCTAAATGAAGGGGCATAAGCACCGTTTTGGATGACTCTCATATTGGTGACAGGTAAGATCTGAGTCGCGGTTAAGATTGTTAGGTTGCTTGTATTTTTCTATAGACACGTATTTTTCGTTGGCAGAAGAATTGATTATATGTAAGAATTTTAGTTTTATCGAATTAAATTTTATGTTCGGTTTCGTGATTGTGTTCGGCAAGTTGAGCATTGTTGACATTTTTCGTCCGGTCTCTCCAATGTATTCTTTGCCGCATATGCATGGAATGCTCTAAACTCCTGGCACCTCAAACGGAATTTTGTGATGTTTTGAATGTAAGGAAGGACAACAGTGGCGAGTATGGGATTGCTTACAGTCTCATTGCTATTGGAAGGTTGTGGTGAAGAATATTTTAAAAGTGATTTGTATTTGATGTAACGCTTAATATCTATAATGTATCTAAAATTATTAGAAAGAAAAGCAGAAGTAATGTATTTTAATTCTGGGTTCAGTGACTCGGGTTGAGATAGTTTTATGGCTCTGTAAACAAGAGAGTCGGTAACCGAAGATTTTTGGGCCGGATGGTGATGTGACAATGCATTAAGGTATCGGTCTGTGTGTGTAGGTAGGTTTTCTGTAAACACAATGACCCAATATTAGGTCTGATTTTATATTGATAGGAATATCTAAGAAAGGGAGGTTATTATTAATTTCTAATTCAATGGTGAAACGTATGAGGACAAATAACAAAAGTATCATCGACGTAGCGTTTCCATAATTTTGGTTTTAGATGGAAGGTATCGATTCTTTCTTTTCAAAGGCTTCCATAAATATGTAATTAATATATAAGCAACAATATAAGCAACTTAACAATCTTAACCGCGACTCAGATCTTCACCTGTCGCCAATATGGGAATCAGTCATCCGAGACGGTGTTTATAATCTATCTATCAGTTAAGCTCTGAACAAGCCAACAGGGTGATTGCTGAAACGTTAATAAGTTTGAGTCGACCAAAACTGACGCAGGAAGATTCCAGAAATTTTGTAAAAAGTAATTTTGTTACCGTAATTTGTTATAAATTATAAAAAGAAAGAAAATTAGAAGATCAATAAAACAATAGCAATAATAATAATAATAATAATAATAATAATAATAATAATAATAATAATTTATTATATACAGTGACCGGCTAAAATATGGTACCAGTTCATATAAGAATCAGGTATTGGATTTCGAGAAAACTGTTCGCTCACGTGGATCATAATCATTATAGAAATATACAGGTTGCGTCAAAGATGCCCATACCAAGTTCCCCTTTTTACATTTCATTGTTAAGTTTATCACCTGCGCTTTGTAAAACATTTGAAAGAGTTCTCTATAGTCATATGTATAATTATATAATTGATGATAGATTATCACCAGAAAGTCAAAGTAGTTTTAAACGAAAATCAGGTACAAATGTCACTGATGATACTGTCCGGGCCACTGTCAAGAAACTAATAAGTGTCCTAATTCTTTTAGATTTTTCGAACGCATAGGATACGGCGAATCATATGTCATTGATTGACAAGGTAAATTTCTATGTTTTTTCATGTAATTCGTGCAAGCCAATTAAACCTTATCTTTCAAATCGATATCAAAAGAGGGCAGATGTTCCAAGCAGCAGGTATTTTCTCTTGGGTACTGCAGGGTTCGATTTTGCTAATACCTCTAATGCAGAAGTTTTTACAAACCATGATCTTAGTATGATTAGTGAACTTTCTCATGCACATTAAAATCTGAAAATCTTAATGATATATATAAATCGAGAGATTATCACGATTTACCTCATAAATCACTTTTAATAATCGGCAATGCTGCGTATCACAACGTGCCGGTTAAAAAGAAGGTCACCAGTGCAAGCAAAATAAATTGAATTAGTTTAGTGGTTCCGGGAAAGAACTATACCACTGAATGAAAAATTTACAGCACCTGAAATTTATCAGGTAATTCAAGAAAATAAATTTCGAATTCCAACTGGATGAGTTATTGGAAAAACACTGCGCTTGCCTCCTTATCGTCCTGAATTGAATCCCATAGCCGTGGCATTGATTAAAAATTGTGTGGAGGGTGGAGGTGCTAGGCAAACGTTTTCCAAAGTTGCAGTTGAGGAATGGGCTACAATTTGTAAACATGTGAAGAAACACAAAAAAATAGACCATGTATTGGACGATACGATTGATGCTGATGCAATTCACAGTAAAGTGATGTCGAATCTGACAGTACTGGCGGCAGTATTCACGGCACTGTCCTATCAGATTCGGAATGAAAAAACATTGTGTTTAATTGCTAAGGGAAAAATTACAACAGCAATAAATATTTTGGTACGCTAATATTTTGAGGCATTATTTATACCCGTTTAAAATTAAAAAAAAAATCAATGCAAACATCGCATAATAATAATAATAAGCGTCTTCATGTATCTTGTCCGCGATTGACCCGAACATCTATATAAATTGAGTTTTCTCTCTATTTCGAATTTTTCTTTGTAAATCCATCAAAAAAGCTTTGTTTGTTATTATTTTTCTATATTGTATATAATGTTTTCTATTCGTTGTAATACCTGTATATCTACCCTGTAGCATTTTGTATGTTAATGACTAAAGACCACTTTATTATTACTGTTATTAACTATCTGTCTTGGAATATAGAGTCTTTTTGACACCTTAACTTTTAAATTGTAAACAATTTTATTGAGTCACCTTATGGTACAAGTCACTTATCTTCCAATGCTGGTCATACTTCTTCAACTCTCTATTCATAACATGTACTCGTATGTAAAAGAACTGTGTTTGTCTGAACAATGAAGATATGGATTTATTCAACTTAAGCCTAAATTTATTTAAAAGAAACATATACAAAATTTTGTAACATTGCTTTAATTACGGTCTTTTACCTGTTGGTTAGTTTTTGGGTTTATAAACAAATAAATAAATAAACTATAGATGTCTTTAATGTAGTTTGGACTAAAAGTAGAGTAAACTAACGCAGACTTTTCGCGCTTTGGAATGTCTAAGCAATTGACCTTCGCCTTAACAATGAACGAAAAACCTAATCAGAAATTCACCGTCACTTTTAATGAATGCATCATGCAAAAACATGTCGGCAAAGAAAACCAACGGGTACGCGTATTTATAAATAATTTATTTCAACCTAATGAATAACTATTAATCACAAATTAATTAGCCACACTATCCGCCCAACGATACGTCGAATTAATTTTCATTAAAAATAAAAATAAAAAGGTTTTATTAAATTTTATTCGGTTTTATTTGGTTTTTCTTTCGCAGCCGGTTCTTCGGTAGCTACCGGATGCGTGTGCGTATAGTAACACTTGTGAATGAGATAAACAGTCTCGCAGGGATCTTTGCCTTTGAGTTGGCACTTTGCTACTATTTTCAGCGCCTGTTCCCTATCAGCTTCGGTCGGTATTTTCGCTTTGACCACGTCCAGCTGCACTTCGCCTTTGTCGTTGACGAATCCGGCTTTCTGGTAGAAGCATTTCGTAAAGCACTTGAGTTTCTCGTCTTCCGGGAACTCCCCGAGGTCCGCCTTTTCAATTAGGATCGGGTCGACTTTCGTCTCGGCCACGCATTCCTGCCGGTTTTGGATGATTCGCTTTTTCTGTTCTTCCGTGAAATCCTGAAAGTATCGGAATCTCGTTAGCATTTAAAATTTCTTCGCCAGTCGTTATGTTCAAAAAAGTCTAACTCTAACCAAATATTAAAAAATTTAATATTAATATTTAAAATATCAAACATTTTGTTAAAATTGTATTTTCTAAAATTTTTTATAAGTGTATTTTATGAAAATACGTTTTTTTATAATCGTGTATATTATAAATAGGACTCTAAAAAAAAACGTGTTATAAAAAGACATCAACAGAAATCCAAAAAAAAAATCCTAACCTAAAATTTTTGCTTATTTTGAAGAAGAAAAGTGTACACTTCTATTTTTAATTAATTGCAGGCAAATCATTTTGCATGTTCTAAACAAGTACATTTTTTACTATGTTTTATATGCAAGTAATGTTGATGAGAAAATTGCCATAACTATGAACTGAAAGTATTTGACAAGCACGCATACCATAAAAAAATTACAAAGAAAGGAACTACTTTAAGTATAGGCGTTGGATAAAATTATTGCAAGAATTAATAAAAAAAGCATTGAAAAAATTTAACGATCCAAGCTCTCCGTTCATTACAGTTACTATAAACCTATTTGGAATTGCACACCGATTGCAGTTATAAAAGAAAAAAAAATATTTGGGCGCAAAATTTCAAAATTCTAGTTCTATAGAGAAATGGCGTTAACTTAATATTATAAAGAGCAAATAAAACACTCTGTCTTAATAATCCAAATGCTGTTAATATTTTTCTATTGTTAAATCGAATTTGCTAACGTTTCGCTTCTTCAAAGCTAAACTGAGTTTGACTTCTTCAGAGCTAAACTCGCAGGACGCAGGAGGAATTCAGAACATTTGTTTAGGATTACTGTGGATTCTCGGTTAAAATATAGAGATCACGTTACAAGCCAGGTTTCTTTGCGATACTCTGGTGCTGTCAGAGTTTCATCATTGTAACAGCTTATTCATGCCTGGCCTAGATCATACAAGGAAGTATCGTGTTCAAAAGGTGCAAAACTCCTGTCTTAGACTAGTGAATAGAGTTAGAGGTAGAACATCTAGAAGTACTCAAGCTGGTTGAATATGTTCAATCGATATAGACCTCACGCCCTATTGTTCCGCTCTATCTGAATAACAAAATTATATTTCGGACGAATGTCCATAATTTGAGTCTCCTTAGATCTCCTTCTTGTGTTACAATATCGAAAAAAGTATTTGAAAATAGCATTTAAAAAGTTCCTCATGATACCAAATTGCAAATATAATTAATAAGTCGGCCTCGTTGGGTAAGCGAAATGCAAGATTTTATTTTCGGATCACGTAATAAAACCTTTCTCTGTGTCTGTTAATTTTGGGCTTTAACAGAATCTGACTGTTCCAGACACCTGACTTTTTTGGCCCTTTGCTACCAAATTTAATTCGGCACATAATTTTCTAAATTTGCTGATAACGGTTGTTTTTTTGTTCTTTTGGTAGGTATAACAGTGTTTTCTTTTATTTGGTGACAGCTGATCTACCGTAGAAGTTACGGACGGTATTAATGAAACTTCATCTCGCCTTTGTCGTACTTCCAAGGTAATATCTGTAAGAGGAGGTCTTCATTTTAGATGTTCTGTTGATGGCTCTCCCAAGTACAAATGCCTGATTTATTTGAAGAATAAATGATTTACGATCTATAACTGCGATGTTTAAAAGGTAATAAAAAACAACCAGTAAAACACAAGTTTAAAGGCAATAGGTTATCGTAAGCCTAAATTTTTGGATACCATATGGGTTTTTACTGCTTTTTACTGCATCGGCGGGATATACAATGTCCTGCCTGAGCTTTCTTACGCACAATTTTCAAAAAATCTTAAAATAAATTTATGGCTACCTTCAACAATTATGTTTAACATTTCAGTTGAAACAAATAGATTCCAACATTCTATGAAACTTTTGCGGACTTGGCAGAGATTGTCGGGTTCTCCCTTGCCTTTTAGTAAAGCGTTTCATTCATACTGTTTCATTATGGGCTATAAAGGAATGATTCATCATCATTACTCTGAGTACTAATATCTTTCTCTGATTCGGTGTCGGAAGTTAAATGCCCTCCGGTGATATCTTCTTCACTACTACTAGATGTATCCTCATTTTATGCTCATCATCACTCTGAGTATTATCATCCTTCTCTGATTCAGTGATATCTTCTTCACTACTGTCAGATTTCCTCAATCCCCTAATAATCTTGCTTCCTCAAAATAAGTCATTATTTCTAAACAAAAATTCATAGAAGATTACCAACATACCAACTGAGATGAGCGTAAATTATCATAAATTTAAATTATAGAATTTTACATCTTGTACAAACTTTTTAAATGGGGATATGGGTACTTTTTTGGGAGACAACCAAAACAATATAATAAAAAAAACAGTACTCTGGTTTATACCACTGGTTTTCAAGTTATCAGCAAGTAATGCTGGTGTTGATAAAGTAACAGCTATAAAGTAAAGATATTCTAAACTATTTGCAACTTCATTTTTCAACAGTAACTTTTATAACGCAACGAGAGGAATTCGCAGTCTAAATTTAATTTCGGTATCTTAAACCATCTCAGAAATAATGAAGACAACCAAACTAATGGTATGTAAATTTTTTATTTACCCCTATTTTACTGATTTTGAAGTCTTTTAAAACACGACGGTCAGTTACTTTACATCTAGACTCTTGGTAAACTTTGTGGAAAAACCAATGTATGTGGCACTAATAAAGTGTAAACCTTACTAGCTAACAGTAATTAAAATAAAATAAAACATCAAAATTCAATTAATGCCAAACCATATTCAAAATAAACAAAGAAAAACTAGAATCCGATATGTAATTTTATAATAACAAGTTTGGAGAGTCTTGCTTGAAATAAAAAAAATGCTAAATTTCTGAGACCCATGGAATATGGAGCAGGAGAAAAATAACAGGATAGAGTATAAATATTCCGCACCAAAGAATCTGCAAAAAAAACTGTTATAAACTTAATGTCAAGGTAGTAGTGATCCTGTTTTGTTATTTAAATAGAGTTATGAGTTGCCTGAACTTGTTATACCAGAGTTCACGCATGAGTGAACACATGCAAAATAATATATGTGTGGATAAGCCTAAACAGATACACTGGGACGCTAATCTCCAAGTTAATTTAAATTATAGTTGAATTGAAGGTAAACAGGGCGTTTCGTCATTCAAAAAAAAAAAAGAAAAAAAGTTCATGCAATCGTCGGTCTGAGATCATATTTAAAAAAAAATTATTTTTTTGCAATTTATTAAAAAAAATCAGATTTTGTTGACATTTTGAATGATGCTGTTTTTATTATTATTTTGAAGACGTCACTAAAATTATAATTTTTTAGACCCTTAAGTTGTGTTCGTATATTGCCTCGTATTGGAGAGAAAAAACAAATTTAAATCATCGAAATTCATAAAACGTATTTTTATAAGCATTTATTTCATTCACTAACGCAAATAATAAAAATGGCCGACATCAGCTTGATTGCAGTCTACACGAAGCAAGGATTTAGTATTTATCTTAACTTTAGTATTCAACTCCCTGTACATAAACAAATCGAATCAGAGAACGGAGCAATTTTATTATTCAATCTGACTAAAAGACTTTCATTCCGATCCTTGCAAGTTAATACGAGCAAGTCCGTTTTATATGCATCCAAAGTAGGATCGATATTAAATGTGCAACCTGAAAACACCTAAATACAGCGAAAGACCTTTAGAAAATAAAAAAAGTGCTTGAAACAAAATATTCCCACACAATTGTTGTTTTCGCCCCATTAGTAGTTATGATTATGGTTGATTCGGAGCAAAAATTTTTATTTAGTATACGATTTGTATATCGCTTTATATAATTAAGTATTAGAATGCACTTGCGTCAAAACATTCAAAAGTTATACCCGTTCAAGCTGTATTTTTATCTAAAATAATAGGGCTTTTCTTGTTTCACCTTCCGCTTGGACGATTTGTGTTAAACCTCAAAGTATCAAAGTTGGCTGTTAAAACGCATACCCCATTCTTATCACAACATTTCAACAAGAAACTCTCATGTCCGTGTTTAACTCGCTTTCATCATTGTGAAGTTAGTCTTAGAACGTCTCATCTTTAACCATACACAATTTGCTTTAGAAAAATTTAGACTTAAATTTGGACTAAAAAAAAGCAAAGAAGTGTTATATTCTGAAGTGAAGTTTGAACGTTATGGACTCTTCAAGTTTTTATTGTTAATTTGTTAATTGCCTAACTTTTTTCAATCTTGTGAAATTTTTGACTTCTATGACTCTATACGACAACTATAAGGTTAATTCCATGAAATGACACAAATTTATTTGTTTGTTTCAAATAAAAGACACACTGTTTTAAAAATCTTGATTCAAACAATGGAATAGTTAAGAACTCAATTTTAATAACCTCTGCATTTATTTATGCAAGCAAGGTTACCAGCAAAGTGCTTGGAACAACACGAATTAATAATCACAGAATTCGGTAGAGGTACACACAAAAAAACACTTAAAAAAAAACACTAATATAAAAAAAAAACGATAAGAGCAAATAAAAAAGCCAATGAATTCGCGACAAGCAATCTCAACCGCTTACATTAGTATAAACTATGTAACTACTATCACCTTTTACGATATGAATATATCATACATTTTTAAAACAAAAACATTTGACAAAATTTTTCAAAAATAAAATTAATAATTTTATATTAAATTTTCCACATATCCACCATTTTGAATAATGCAATATTACCTGCACGTGATTTATGGCTTTTAATAAATAATTTAATTGGTTAGTTGCAATTTTTGTAATGCAAAAACTTCTATTGGCTTATTTTTGTATACTATTATCTCTTTGAAAATGCCCCACAAAAGGAAGTCCAGTGGGCTTAAATCCGGGCTCCTTGCTGTCCAGATGCTGTCAATTTGCCAAATGGATTTCCTAAAATTTCCATTTAAAAATTCACTGATATCAGCACTTTAATGG